AAGGGGCAGCCTTGACGACTGCAGTAGGCCTTGTCCAAATGCAGGAATTTCAGCCAATGGATATGACAGAGAGAGTCCTTCTAATGCTTCCCGCAGCAGTGATCGCAGTGCTTGTACCTGGTAGGCACTTAATAAATATGCATCCTTTCATTGACTGCGAACAAAATGAGATGTTAGATAAGGAGCAATGTTAACACCACTTGCTGACATCTGAATTGTGTTTCTGCAATCACTTATGGAAGGGCACACATGAGTCTCACTACTTACATTCAGTATCATTTTGGGAGTTGTGATGATACGCAAGGTGACATCTGAAGAGTGTCCTTAGGCCACTTCCAGGAAAGACCTCATGAAACCATGATGCCCAGAATGAGCTAGTTCACAGAAACATAGCTTTCTCAATCCTGTTTTACTTAGCTCTCAGATTGCATTTGGGGGTTTTACCCATCTGCATAATGATAAAAATACACTGAATTAGGGGGGTCGTCCAAATTCTTAAACTAGAAGAAGAAAAATAAGAGAATATATGTGAACTACATCTAGAGCCACAATTTTGTGACAAGAGTTTAGCCAGGAGCTTTATGTAAAATTATTCATGCACTTAGCAAAGAAACCTTTATGACTATTTGTCCCTGTTTTACAGATTAGGTAACTGAGACTTCAAGAGATTAGGTAAGGTATCTGATCCCAAGTCTGTCCAACTCCAGAAGGCTTTGTACTCACTACCACATTCTCCTGCTGTCATAATTTCTAACTCAACCGTTTTAAATCCTGGGCTATCTTTCCACTGAATGCAACTTGGCATGACAGACATTATAACCTGTGCTATTATTATGAGTAGATATCATGTTTATACAAATCCCAAGTGTAACTCAAATTTTAGTCAACAACCTCATGGTGGACTGGAGTTTTTTGTAGATTGCAAACTTGCATAGAAAAGGCTTGAGAGGCCAAGTTTTTCTTATCTTTCCTGGATACCAATGCAAATGGATTCAGGTTATTACACATTTTCTACTTTTCATGAATCTAAAATTATGCCTTATATAGAGTGGCCAAATATTTATACATGTATATATGTGCATATATACGCATACACCCACACAAGCACACGCACACATACATACCCACAAATAACTAAGAATGCACCATAGATACTACTGAGAAGTGGTATCGTCAACACACTTGAGAAAACACCCAAACTTTATCACCAATCATGAAGAAGAGACCAGTTCTACTTAACCACTCTACTTTGAAATCATAGTGGAGGAATCATTTTTATCGTGTCTTGAGCTACATATGAAGTCTTCATTACCATGACACCTTACATTTCTATTCAAATGTGCAACTGCAGATAATTTTGTTCTAAAACATTTCATCATAATTCTTGCAACAACGCTGTAAGCTAAGAATGTGTATGTCCAAATATATAGCAGGAAATCAAGGACCCGAGACTCCGAGGACTTATCAAGCATTTGGCAACACTGTCCATGCTTGACTGACATCTGCTGATTCTCCATCCAGAATTTTCCTTCTTCTGATTGCAGCCCCCCCATCTCCTTCATTCCCCCACTTTAACTGTGACTGCTGAGTGGTCCCAAGTGGCAGTGCAGATAATTGAGTGAGTTAATTTAATTTATTACAAGCCCCTGCCCTATCCACATATCAATTAATCTGTCTTTCCTTTTGTAATTTATTGGGGGACCCTGAGAAGTTGTTTTGAAGTGACGGAGCACAACAAGGACACACAAAAGCATCTGCCCTTAGAGGATGTATCTCCTGCATCCCAAGATTCCTCATTTCCTGCTGTAGGCTGAAGATCTTAGCCTATCCATGCCAGCCCCAATTCTAGCATCAGCTTCACACATCAAACCAACATGCAGCTCCAGGCTGTTGTCATGACTCAGCAATCAGAACGTCAAGCTCGGTCCACCTGGTCCTCACCCACCTTCGGGGCCAGTGCTCCAAAGCTCCTCTCAGCTCTTGAACTTACTAGACAATGTTCCTGGCTCCCTTGAAAGGCTCTCAGTGCCTGACTCTCCAGCTGTCAGCCCTGTTTGTTACAGAGGGAAAGAGCTATTCATGTGTTAAGTGCCCTGGGTCTTAAAAACATAGAAACACACTGGAGAATGTTGGGCCTCCTTGGCTGACTTGAGCAGAGACCCAGAGAAAGGCCTGCCAGCTGAACGGAGCTAAATAGAGAAGGAATTGGAATGTCCTTTATTCTCCCCCCAAAATCTCAAAGTAGCCCTTCACCAATTCATTCATTTAAAAATATAACCCTGCATATTTTTCTGGGGAACTTCATCCTTTTCTTTGGCAACTCTGACATGTTACTCCTACTGAAATGGAAAGCTCCCTCCTCCCCCTCCACCTTTCTTTTCTGAATGCCCTGAGCAAGAAAAATCAACCTCTTAAACCTCAAATCACTCACTACCAGAAAATGAAGCTCAAAAAGGCTCAAGGAAACCATGGATCTGGAGTCATTTCTGATCAAAAGCAATGTTTACTACTGTTCTTGCCTGAGCTGAAAATAAAGATGCAAAGTTACAGTTGTGCAAACACCACTCGAAACCCTTGAGATATAGAGGAGATGCCTTGCAAGTTGCGTGAGCTGTAATCAGAAGATCTCAAATGGGTTTGTATCCCACTTCTATTATTAGCCTAAAACAAGTGATAATGAAAGCATTGCTATTGCTAGAAGATTCACTCATGACAATGATTAAATCTCACATACACAAAAGCTAAATTGTTATCCTTTTTCTTGGGAGAGGGTGTTGAGAATAATACATGCAATCCATTTTGGCCAACACCACCAGTCTAAATATACCCACACATGGTAAGAACAGTCCAAATGAAATAGCCTCAACAAAAAGAGGTACTCATTTGCCAATGTCCAGAAGGGCATTTTCAAAGGGGTTCTCATCATTTAGAACAGTCCTAAGACAAAATAGATGACTTAGAATACCATCCTCAGTACATGGATCTAGTTTCCAAAAGCTGCAGGTTAATGAGGAGGTGACCAAGCTGAGGAAGGATGCTTGTCCAGGCAGTGTGTGGGAAGCCTTCAATACCCTGATGTGACCTCTTGGCACCTGCAGTCTCAGGGCCTTTCTCTCCTTAGAACAGCAAACTTTGTGTTTCTTCTTTATGTATCATCCCCTCCTTCAGGTTTCAGGAACTCTGGGTTGTTTCCTCCACAAAATAAATTTGTGTTTAGGGCTTCTGCTATGTTTAAGCCATTTACAAAGGGGAAAAAAAATTCTCATTTCTAGATAGGAAATATTTAACCGGAAATTATGGGGAACAGATGAGTATATCGCGATCAGAAATATTTGACAAGAAAGACATGTCATAAATTATACCGACAGGAGAGAGGCTTCCCATAGTATTTTTTTGCCAAGAACACTGTGGAGAGTCAGTGACAGGGGCCAGTACAGTGGAGGAGGGATGGCTTCTCACAGTGGCCCTGTCACCTGCTTCTCTAATGTCATTATGCAAAACACATTCCACAGAGGAGAGGACGAGATAAGCCCAGGGTAACGCCAGAGCATCCTCTCATCCTTAAGTTTTTTTTTTTTTTTTGGTAACTCCTTTTTAGAAAAAAATAAATATCATCAGTGTTTTGAATATGATGTCTAACCTCTCTAAACTTGGATGCTTTCATAAGTCTTTGATCAGTCCATCCAGTCTCGGAGTAAATCTGTGATGTTATAATTTGCCCCTTCTTTCTATGCACAGACATCAGTACTTGAAGATATTCACCTGGGTGCTTGCCCCTACCTAGTGAACACACCTGTCATCTCTCCCATGAATATGTCCACAGTAACAGTCCGGGTTGGCTGACGTTCCATGCCATGCCACCGTGCCTTGTAAGATAAATCATCCATATGCATTGACTGAAGAAGAGTAAGATTCTGTTGCTTTCACTGGAGGTCTCAGCATTTTAGAAATCTATTTACAAGTGATTCTGCCTCCTGGGGAGAAGCTAATTGATGCCAATGCAGAGATAAAAATACTCACGGATACAGGAACATAGATGCTATCACAATGAAATGGTATTCTGCTTTAATTAAATAACCTCGGGATCAAAACAGGTAAATATTATCAGCGTTTTACTTTGAAGGAAAAGAGGGGGAAGAAGTGAGCCACAGCTAACCACCAGGAAACACTACAGAGACTGAGTTAGGCAAGCTGTCTGACTGAAGTCACCTGAATTCCTGATGCCACTTGCTTTTACAGCCAAGAAGAGATAATTAAGAGCAATTTGCAACCATATTCCCTTCTCTTGGGACCAGGCAGGGTAAGAGGATGTTCCAGAATGAGCGGCACTAGTCTTAATCAGGGAACACGGCATTCAGAAAGGTTAATAACATGCAACTGCAAGAGAATCAGTGCAAAAAAGAAAGGTTCAAAATTCTAAACAATTTCCACTTTGTTCTCATTTGCTCCGATTAAGAGCTAGTGAAGCAGCTTTTCTGTATTCCACACATTCGCTACCCTCCAGAGCAGATGTAATTATTCAAGAAAAATAAAATGAAATAAGAGCCGTGGGGAGGGGGAAAGTCCACTATTAAGTTATCCTGAAAGTCCGGATTACGCTGCCACCCCCATCCCCAGTCCCTGAGCAGACGCGCTTTGCCCCTAACTCAGATCCCGTGCCAAGAGCTTTGCTGATTAAATTTCCCCCTCCAGTTTACAGAGTATGTCAAGGAGGGAGAAAGCTGGAATTATTTTTTTTCCCCCAGATTTCATAGATTCAGAATTCACTGTGAAAATGTGAGATAAACAAGAGAGGTATAAAAATGGTAAGAGGGATGGTGGGCTGGGGGATGGTTATACAAATGGAAATAATTCCCTTGGCATAAAAATAGCCCCCAAATGCCACACACTGAGTTCTTCTGAGCATTCCAGCATCTATAAACTGCATATGGGTTTCTGAAAACAAACAGGAAGGCACAAACATCGCAAGACAGCAAGGACTAAGGAGTCCCGTGACTTACCTTGTTGATGGATCCTCAAAGTTCACCACGGAAAATTTAAAAATCCTCTAGCTTGCATGCACGACTCTCTCTTCTTTTCTTCTTCTTTTTTTTAAAGTCACATAGGAGGAAAATCGTCAGTTTTCAAAGGTTCCATGTAGCTGATCTTCCAGCACCAGCAAAAACGTGCCCAAGCGTCTCCGCCAAAAAGTAAGCCAAAAACTCATCAAAGGCAAAAGGAGAAAGGGGGAGCGGGGAAGGAAGGGGGTGACGAGAAGTGGGGGGCTGCAGACGGTGAGCCCAAGTGCCCAGAGAATCCTGCCACGCTGTAGAAATCTCCTACTGTACGACGCACCTGCATCGGTTGTCACACCAACACACGCACCCACGGACACTCACACATGCCCTTCCACGCCGAAAGCAGGCGCCCACGCTCACAAACACACACACAAACACACGCACTCACTCTCTCTCTCTCTCACACACACACACACACACACACACACACACACACACACACACACACACACACACCAGTGTCATGAAAACTGTCGGTAGTAACCTCCAAGAGCTGCTGTGTGCTGCAGATGGCACGGCTCACTGTTACCTTCCCAGATCTGTGAAGGATCAAATGAACATCCAAAATTGGGGGGCAGGTGGGGGGGCGGCCGAGGCCAGGTGGGTTTCGGATTCCTCTCCCCGGGGCTGATGCATCCAGCCAGGAGCAGGTCAGTCAGCAGAGGTGTCTGCTCGCAGGGCGCCCTGGATCATGGCAAGGTTATTCATCTTGGTGCTAGGCATCCCCCACCCCCAACAGTCGGCAGCCTGCATGGAGATGATTGCCAGAGCTGGGTCTGTCCCAGCTCTACTGCATTTGCTCAGCCCTCTGACGCTGCAAGTGAGACACGATGGAATACTAATAAGGTGGTTAGCTACAGTTTCTTCAAGGCAGCCGGCATGCGGTACAGTCGATGCTCCCGAGGCTCGGTGTGTGAGCCTGCATGTCTGCAGGGGGGACAGTGAACCCATCTCCGGCCAGGAGGCGAGATGCTTTGCAGCCTGCCTGGGAGAACTGTATCATCATCCGAACCATCAACAGACAACGGCGTTGTCTGTGACAGTATTTTTGCCTGGGATAAAGAAGGGGGGTGTCATGGTGTAGAAGCCCAGAGCTGGCATTTAAAAAGGAGGAAAAACAAAAAAAGAATGTCTAGGGAGACAAATTAGCTTCCTAAATAGGCTCCAAGGAGACCGAGGCAAGATTTTTAACATGCTGCTGCCCTGGCTGTTAAATGGAAATACAAAGCCGTTTCCAAAACCAGCTCCAGCCTATAAATCTAGGGGCTGGCAACAAGTATCTGAATTTGACTGATGGGACGGTGGATAAATGGATTCCTGGTAATGTAAAAAAGTTTGCTCATGCATTCTGCTTCGTAGTCACGGATCCAGGGTGTGCAGAGCTCTCCTCTAGGTGCAGTGGATTCGTTTTCAATGTGGATTTGGGGTTGACTCCTGCACAGTTTTCCTTTAATGAACAGTTGTGATCACATAACAAATTATAGAGAATATCTGAATGGTAAGGTTCACTAGGGGTACTGGTTGACAATTTTCAGTAGTAAGCCTTAAGAATATACAACATTCTTGCATGGAATGAGTTTAAAGTTTTCAGGAAATAAAAAGAAAGTGTTATATCCCTTTTCGTACCAAACAATAAAATTAAAATAGATGCAAATATGCTAAATACACTCTCAGCCTCTGGACTGCTAAACTTTCTGCTTCTATGATTGAGTCTCATGTTGCAATACTTCTTCTTTAACTAAGGATACTCACGGAGTTTCTTAGGTTGAATTAAACTGACATTACCTGAAAAAGTATTGGACAGTTGGATAAGGCAGATAAAGGTGAATTATGGAGCACTGTGATACCAGGTTTGGCCAGCAGATGTCACAAAAGAGGATACAGGTAAAACAATTCAGCCCAAAACAGAACGCATTTCATGATTCAGTAAACAGAGATTTTAATTACATTGATGGGTCTAATATAAAATACTAAATTTTTATAAAATTTAAAGGTACAGATAATAACTTAGAGAACAGTTTGTTTTTTATGTTTTTCCAAATGTCCTACTCAAATCGCCATTTTTCATAACTCTAGTATCTTGTCTGTTAACAAAATTGGAAAAAAATACTACACTGTTGGCAAAGATTAGATTTGGATCTAATATTATTTTAAGCAGTGATGATTTTTATGCTATAAAGTATGGCATTCAATATCTTGTCTGCAATATAGCAAGTACTAAATTAAACTACAAAACACGTAATGGGAAGAGGTAAATTGGGCGATTAAAATGACAGTAGTATGTAAAATTTTTGCATAAAGCAGTACTTCTGTTTCATCTTGATCATATCTATAAAAGTCAGCTTGAAAGAATTATTTATGTTTGGGGTTAAGCATTAGTAAATGTTTGGTAACTAATCAATAGTGGCACACAAGTCAAATATACAAAGAATTTTGGTGATCTTTATTCATGCCACCTATATTAATGTGTGAAAAGTTTTCAAAATCTAGCACAGCATCTTAGGCTTTATTTATGTAGATGGGACTAATGGGTACCCACCAGCTCCCAGATCTCATTGGCCCCAATGACAAGAAAATATAGTATTAAAAGCTTGGATTTTGGAATTCAGACAGACCAGTGTTCAAATTCTAGTTTTTTCTTCTATTAGGGAGTTAGTCTCTACAAGTCATAAGTCTGTTTTGTTTTTTGGGGGGGAGGTGCTTTGTCTTTTTGTTTTGTTTTCTTTTGTTTCACTTGCAAGCAGAACATGAATATGTACTGGTAAAGAAAAAAAAAAAAAAAACCTTTGGCAAATTAAATTTAACAGAGTTTAATTGAGCAAAGAATGGTTCACCAACTAGGCAGCCTCCCAAACCAGATTAGCTCAGAGAGACTTCAGTGCAGCCAAGGGTGGAAGAAAATTTAAGGACAGAAAAAGGAAATGGATGTAGAAAAAACGGAAGTGAGTTAACGAAAGCAGCCGGATTGGTGACCGCTTGGCTTTTGCCGTATTTAAATCCAATTTGAACAATGACTGCCTATGACTGACCCAAACTCGGAGATTGAAACAAGACTAGGATCCACATTTACACATCCAGTTGGGTTACGTTTCACTGTGTAATAGGTTACGGAGATGCCTCTAGGTTGAACAGAAAATAGGAAGTAGCTTTAGGCTAAACTTAGTTTAACAGCCCCTAACAGGATTATTGTGAGGACTGAATTGAATTAATATTTATCACATACTTAACATTTTCTGACACATAGCGTTGATCCGTCAGTGCTACATATGTCTTATAAATAAAGTAGATGTTTGCTTCTTACTGGTAGCTCTGCCTTTGGGGGCCACCAGGTAAAACAAGTGGAATCATTTAATCAATTATTTTGCTGTTGAAGATGTGTTTTTCAAGTTACTTTTTCAAATAGTTGTTTTGCTCTCTGAACCAAAAGGAAAAAACCAAATAGCCCTATTAAGAAAGGAGCCGAGGACATGTATAGAAGTCAGCCTCACTAATTTCCAGAGAAATGCAAATTAAAACCACACTGAGATCCCAGCTAACTCCAGTAAGGATGGTCATCATTAATAAATCAACAAACAATAGATGCTGGGGCAGGTGCAGAGAGAAAGGAACACTTCCTCACTCTTGGTGCGAGTGCAGGCTACTTCAGCCTCTATGGAAAGCAGAGTGGCGATATCTAACGGAACTTGAAATTGACCTTCCGTATGATCCAGCAATCCCCCTCCTGGGAATACACCCAGAGAAGCACAAATCATTCTACAAAAAAGATACCTGCACAAGCAAGTTCATTGCCACACTATGTCGAAAGTAGACCGGATAAAGAAAATGTGGTGCATATACACGATGGGATAGTGCAACAGCCATATAGAAGGAAAAAGTCATGGACTTCTCAGCAAATTGGATGGAATTAGAGACAATCGCTCTTAGCAAATGATCACAGACACAAAGAACCGAACACCACATGTTCTTACTCAAAGAGGGACCCAAACATTAACCACAATAGCACAAGGGAAGGATGGGCAGTCGTGCGACACTGTGGCGGGGGGGTTAGGTGAAGGTGGGTGGGGAGGGTATATGATCCCAAACCAGGGGAAGTAAGGACCAACCAGTTGGAGGCTTAAACTTCACCTGAACGTACATAAGCTATATACCTAATCCTGACTTGTACCCACATCTTCATAATAAAATAAAGAAAAAAAAAGTTGTTTTGATCTTATTAAGCCCATGGTTGGATCGTGTTTGAGCACTCTTTAAAAGTTCCTTATATGCATCTCACTTGACCTTCTGTAGTTTTGGTTTCACATCCCTAAAATATTTGGGAAAAAAATATGGTAATTAAAAAAATAAAGTCAATTATAACAACTATTTACATATACCTCGGTATTATAAATAATCTAGAGATGAGTTCAAGGGCACAGGAGAAGGTGCACAGGTTTTACGCAAATACTCCGCTATTTAAATTTGAGCAATGGCAGATTTTGGTATCCACAGGAGTCCTGGAACCAATACCCCTGCAAATATCTAAAAATACCTTGAATACTAGAGATGGCTGTATCTATATTTTTGCATTTATATGTGTGCTCCAAGACTCACTAAGAAAAGGAAATCACTTTCTTACTTTTCTTTTTTGAGTCAGGTCTCACTGTGTCACCCAGGCTGCAGTGGCACAATCATGGTTACTGCAGCCTGGACCTGCTGGGCTCAGTCGATCCTTCCGCTTCAGCATCCAAGTAGCTGGAACTACAGGCATGCACCACCACGTCCAGTTAAGTTTGGGGATTTATTGTAGAGATGCGTTCTCACTATGTGGTCTATGTCTTGAGCCCCTGGGCTCAGGCAATCCTCTCACCTCCGCCTCTCAGAGTGCCGGGGTTACAGGTGCAAGCCACTGCACCCACCTGAAATCACTTTTTTGATTAAATGACCGAAATCTTGACTCAAACAGAATATTTAGGGGAAAAAAAAATCCAATGGCAATTCACTGCTTCCTATCAAGGCTTGCTCTGAAGCCAATAGTATCACCAAGTACTACAGTGATGGTGCTTTACAAGGGACAATGCAATGATGCTTATATTCCCCCAGAATCCAAATGTTGAGGGCCGGATCCTCAACGGAATGATATTTAGAGGTAAGGTGATAGGATTCAGGACAAGCTGCCCCCGAATACAGCACCTTGGCATCCGAAAAAGCAGTCGAAACAGAAAGGTCTTTCTCACTTTCCTTTTCCCCCTTTCCCTCGAAACAGGTCTAAAACCTAGGGACTCTTCCCTAAAAGTAAGTCATAAAAGCCTCTTTGCAAAAGTGCCCTCCCTATACCATGAAGA